GAAACAAACATCCATCTCAGTCCCTGTACGGCAAAATTACGGTGTATGTTGTGGAAGTATGTGAATTATGTGCAAGAGATAGGAAGGAGTGGAGGGGACTGTTGAGGAAGAGACGAGTTCTGTGCGCAGGCCACTCGGACGACTGACTCTAGGAGACCTCAACAAGTACAAGTAAGTATGTGCATTTTAAAGAAGAATCAACACCTATAACAGAAATTAGAATAAACAGAGTGACAATATTTCACATCACGCTAAAGAGTTGTTGAGCAGTTTACTTAAGAGACATTACACCAGCAAAACTAATCAATCAATATTCAACCAATCACAGTTCAAGTTTCAAACAACACACAAATCCAGTCGGGTCACCCCAAACAAGGCGTTACAGGTAAGTATTACCTCTTCAAAATATCAAACCGGAGACCCGACTGTAAGTTTTGAACCACTGACTCAGCCCCCTACTCTTTTCGATAAGTGTGGCGGGTTCTTTAACGTGTATGGTGTGTGGCTCTCCCAAACACGGAACCTTCATTAAACGCCCAATATGTCCTCTTTAGCATAAATTAAGTAAAATTAGGGAAACATACAATTTGAGCCGGAAAAGAATGACATTTCTTCAAAAAAGCTTGCTGCTTTTATTATTTTTTATTAAGTTGTTCTGTGTTTTTGCTGCCCTGCAGTGGCGTAGTTACTTCCGCATTCATTGCGTTTTGCTGCTGTGTAATGCGTTGCATGAGAAACACCCCCAAATCATACATATACAGGGCACTATATAGATGGTACTGTACGTGTATGTGCAACCCATATATATATATATGGGTCCCGCAGGACAAGGTTGTTAAGAGAAATGAACCGATCAGGATAAGAATTAGTAGAAGGTTGTTAGTGATATTTAAAAAACAAACTTATTCATTGAGCTTTTGTCTTAAAAAGATGTTAAAAATAAAAATATACGCCTGGGGAGCAAAGTTGGATAAGCTCGAAGAATTTTTTTTTTCTTTCTGGCCTGTACATAAAAATCATTTGCGTTACGTTTTTACGACTTTGGATAGACACATACATTTTTAATAAATTGGATTAGTATGAATTTGTTTACCCTTGTCCTGCTTGCATTCCTAGGACAATATTTTTCAATAATTTCATGTCTTAATTAGATCATAGACCCCTGCATTTGCCTTGCAGTGGCATAGTTACTTCCGCATTCGTTGCGTTTCGCTGCGGTGTGATGCGTTGCCAGATCGTATCTATACAAGGTACTGTAAAGATGGTACTGTATAGATGTGCAGAACAACAATTGTTGTGCTCCGCATGACAAGGATTGTGTTAATGAAAAACAACAAAATAAATAAATGTTATCTTGCATTCTACACAATTATATAACATCAATTATTCAATATTTTCTAACATGTTCAAAGCGTACATTTTGTTACATTCTGTACACTTGTTATACATCTCATGTTCTGCGTCTCTGTTCTGCTTTAAGAAAATCAAAACAAAACATTAAAGTTTTTTTTTTAATTCTTAATGGTATGGCCAGCAGAGTGTCCACTTATATTCAACCCTCAAACATCCGAACTTTTTTGTAACGGTAATGACCGAATGTTGTCCAAATGGACTGGATTTGGCTTCTTTCAAATTTATCTTCCTTTTCAAATTTATATTCCTTTTTGCATTATTTCAGTTATTTTTGCACTTATATTGATTAAACATAGAAAGAGGTATATTTTGACATGATTAAGTGTAAGAAATTCCAACTCATTATCATATTATTTATGCACAAATAGGATGAGGCCTGCAGGCACGAAGATGGGGTTGACCTTTGACCTCATATGATTGTCAAAGGTCATAACCTCTGAAAACTTGATGACCTAATTCCTAAGGTTGAGCTTAATTGGCAAACTGCATAATATTAAAGCAATAATGCTTCCTTGAAGACATATTGAGGACATCCGAACAATTTCGTGTGAAGGATATAACTAGGTCCGTTTGGACTCCAGACGGTCTTACATCAAGCCTTCCGCTGTTTTGAGGCGATATCCAAAAAAATAGAAGAACTTGAAGAAAAGGTTTATTGACAAAGTAACGGAATGAATTTCTTTTCGAATCAAAAAAATTTCAAATAGCACATAAAACAAGAGTTCCACGATCTCATACCTTCGCCAAAAGATGTTAACCCTTGCGTGTGACGAATTCTACAATTTTAATCATTGATTTTGTAAATAAGAGCCTCATTTGCATGGATTATATCAGTTGATCATATTCTCCACCCAATGACAGCCTTATCATAACAAAGAGGCTATTATAGCACTTCCTCATAAATTATGCAAATGGTGTCATGATTTGAATAAATTATGTTTATTAATGTTCACCTTCACTTAACTTCCAAATGTAGCAAGTATGAAATTCGGGGTGCAGCAGTTACAACTATGGAATTATAAGAATTTGCCATTAATTATGCAAATTAGGTCCTCATTTACATAATCTATATCCTCAGATGTTTTTCTCGTTCTCAAGTAGATGTCACAACTGTTTCATAGTTCTATTATCGAACAAATCAGATTTATAGAATTTCCTCATTAATTATGCAAATTAGCTCCTGATTTGCATAATTGCCATCTGATTATGTCAAACATCACTTCAACTACCTACATACCAAAAATCACG